AAAGGTATATAATTTTAGCATTACATTCCATATCAGTTATCTAAATTTTTTTTTCAACGTTTATTTATTTTTGGGACAGAGAGAGACAGAGCATGAACGGGTGAGGGGCAGAGAGAGAGGGAGACACAGAATCGGAAACAGGCTCCAGGCTCTGAGCCATCAGCCCAGAGCCTGACGCGGGGCTCGAACTCAGGGACTGCAAGATCGTGACCTGGCTGAAGTCGGACGCTTAACCGACTGCGCCACCCAGGCGCCCCTATATCAGTTATCTATTGTCATAATAATGCTGCTTTAAAAAAAAACCTAACAGACCTCAGTGACATATCAATAACAATTTAGAATATGAGTGTGCAGGTGAGCATTTTAGTGTGGATTCAACTGGGCAGTTTTCCTGATTATGGCTGGGTTCACTTGCATGTATGTATGTTGTCTGGCTGTTGGCTGATTTGGACAGTCCTCATTTCAGAAACCTAGGATTTTCTGGCTCTGGTGCATTTGTCTTTTATATTCCATTAACTTAGCCTTGGCATATTCTCATGGTGATGCCAAAGTGCAAGTATTAAGGCTGAAATGTAAAAGTGCTTTTTTAGATCTCTGATTCTGCCAATGCAATGAAATGGATAATCTTAGGGGCGCCTGGGTGGCTCGGTCGGTTAAGCGTCCGACTTCGGCTCAGGTCGTGATCTCACGGTCTGTGAGTTCGAGCCCCGCTTCAGGCTCTGTGCTGACAGCTCAGAGCCTGGAGCCTGTTTCAGATTCTGTGTCTCCCTCTCTCTGTGCCCCTCCCTTGTTCACCTTCTGTCTCTCTCTGTCTCAAAAATAAATAAACGTTAAAAAAAATTAAAAAAGAAGAAAGAAATGGATAATCTTAAAATCAATGGATGAGAAAACATAGTTCATCTTTCAATGGGAACCTCTATCATTAGGCAAAGGATGTAGAAACAAGACTATAATCAGGATATCTATAGGAACAAGCAGTTATCTTGTACTAGATGCAATACATAGGAGAAGGTCTGGGTGAGACTAGAATTAAATGTGTAGCCAAACTGAATTCAGAAAAGGATCAGTAGTAATCAGATATACAGGCTCATTGTCTAGCTGCTACTGTTTTCCAAGAATGAAATATAGTGGTGTGGTTGCATGTCTGAGCTTTTTATTAGAAAATGTAAACATAAATTTACCATATGACTCACTAATTCCACACTTTTAGAAATTCTTTTAGAGTTTTAGAAAATATAAACTACTCTATAGTAACCGAAATCGTAATACCGGTTGCCTAAAGTGGGTAGAGGCAGTATTGACTGCATAGGGGCAAAAGGGAACTTTTGGGGTTGATGGAAATTTTCTCTATCTTAAATTTGGTGGTAGTTACATGGAGGTATATGTTTTCCAAAACTCAGTGAACTCTACACTTTGAATTCATGCAGTTTATTATACATAAATTCCACCTCAAAAACTGATAAAAATTTATCTCTATCCCCCTTTCTATTTTTCTTTCTCTTTGTCCAGAGAAAATAGTGATATACAGATAAGCATTACCTCCTAACTGAAGTTAGCTTTGTGACTTACATATCCAGGGATTGAAAACAATCCAGTCAGTCATGAAAGTAGTCACAACAGGTACATAGGAAGTACTCTCCAGCCCATGAAAAATTTCACCCTCATGTAAAGACAAGGCTATATGTGCATGTGTGTGTTAACAAAAACATGCTATTTTCAACTTTTTTTTTCTGATTATAAAATTGCTTACTAAATAGTCAAATAAGATATTGAAAACTATCATGGAAATATATACTGTATCATTAGAAATTCCATCACAGAGAGATGGTCAGTGTTAAAATTCAGGTTTATATACTTGCAAATTTTTATTTTATTCAAGTACACATTCACATACTGTTTAAAAATGGTTCTTCTAGGGGTGCCTGGGTGGCTCAGTCGGTTAACTGTCCGACTTTGGCTCAGGTCATGATCTCGCAGTTGACAAGATTGAGCCCTGTGTCTGGCTCTGTGCTGACACCTCGGAGCCTGGAGCCTGCTTTAGATTCTGTGTCTTCCTTTCTCTCTGCCCCTCTGCTGCTTGCATTCTGTCTCTGTCTCTCTCAAAAATAAATAAGCATCAAAAAAATTTAAAAAATGGTTTTTCTAGAGAGGTAAACAGAATTTTTAAACATCTTCCCTTGTTCATATGGGTCTAAATAATCTTTGGAAATTAGTTCAAAGGAATATAACCCCATATTTAAAAATTTTAATTTCAGTTATTTTTATGATTACAAAAGTAATACATGTACAGAAAATACTAGAAACATCTGTAAGATAAAAAGATTGAATTGTCCTGTCCTCTTACTCCATTACTGCTTCCTTTTTAAGCAGATTTGCCTATAGTCTTCCAAATATGTTTCATTTTATATTCTATGGCAATAGGCCATATGGCCTATTGGCATTTTCTTTATACATGGATAGATATTTAGATAGATGTTATAGATAGATAGATAAGCAGATAATGATACCAATATTTATCATCTTTTGCTAAACAGTAAAATATCTTATTGTGGGCTATAACCTTTAGAAAGCCTTCCACAAGGCAAATATTTCACAAAAATAAGAATAAACAAATACCTATATTGTAAGAAAGTCCAAGTTTATATTCTTTTAAAAATACATAATAACTTTGCAACTTTCCTTCTCTACATGAATGAGCAGCCTTGTCAAGTTTAGATTAAAAATATTTCAGAATGTATTCAGATGACACTAAATGAAAGATTAAGTTGTAGCTATACAAGATACAACTATACTAACTTATAATATAATTTATAGCTATACATTTAAAATTTATAACTATATAAATTTTCTCTTATGTTCTTCAGCAAATTTTCATAGTTATCTTCAAAGAGGTCTTGCCCATTTGGGAGTGTTATAAATATATAATAATTAAATGGCAAAGTGCCTTAAAATCATGAAATTTCCACAGATTAAAAGGAAAAGGAAAAGTTTAGACTTGTTTCACTTGCCCCAATTTTATAATATGTCCCAAATACAAAAACTTATTCCCATGTGGAGGGCCATCTCTCAATTCTTCATTGAACAAATAAATAATTTAGAAAACTTTTGCATCCATAAAGAAACCTTCAGGGCACTTTCCAAGAAACAATAAAAGTTATAGAAAACAACATTTGTACTTGATAAAAAGCCTCATACACTAATTTTATTTTTATTTGGATGGATTTTTTAAAATTCTGATGTGAACACTTACCCATTCACAGACCATTTCCCCAGAACTCATACTCCTGCCTACAATGCAGCAATAAATTTTAATGAAAGATGCTTAAATATTCAGAAAACCACAATAGATTAGACTTCCACAAAGATTCCATAATTGTAATTATTTCAGTAATGGTGTATTGGATTAAAATGTAAGAGTATTTTCCATAATTATCAACCTTGAGGTAAAGGTACTAGGCAAGTAATTGTTTTATCACATGAGATCCCTTAATTGTGTTCAAAAACAAGGTATTGCCCATGCTTCCAGGAGGCTCTTCCATTGTTATTTGCACTATCTTTTGTCATTTAAAAAATCTGGAAAGAAGCAAGAAATCCATAAAGAGGGAATGAATACATCTATGGTCTATTCCAAAAATAGAATAGTATGTATCCATCAAAAAGAATGAGTAGCCAAAGTATGGAAAGAGCCCAAATGTCCATCGATGGATCAATGGTTGAAGAAGATGTGGTATATATATATATACAATGGAGTATCACTCGGCAATCAAAAAAAGTGAAATCTTGCCATTTGCAACTACGTGGGTGGAACTAGAGGGTATTATGCTAAGCAAAATTAGCCAGAGAAAGACAAATATCATATGACTTCATTCATATGAGGACTTTAAGACACAGAACAGACGAACACAGGGGAAGGGAAGCAAAAATATAAAAACTGGGAGGAGGACAAAACATAAGAGACTCTTAAATATGGAGAACAAACAGCGGGTTACTGGAGGGGTTGTGGGAGGGGGGATGGGCTAAATAGGTAAGGGGCATTAAGGAACCTACTCCTGAAATCATTGTTGCACCATATGCTAACTTGGAAGTAAGTTAAAAAATAAAATTAAGTTAAAAAAAAAAAAGAATGAGTAGGATAAATGCATTACAATGGATTGGAAAAAAATAATTTATAGGCCTAAATTTCTGTAATAATATAATTGTTTAACATCTACTTTTATGTGGCAAATGATATTAATTTTTTTCTATTAGGATATAACTATAAATACATGCATAGGAGGGTATGCACAAATCTAACAAACGAGTTACAAATAAAGGCAGTTGAGGACTAGCATGGATGCAAGTAGTGAATTGGGACATTATTACCATATAATATTGTAAATTTTCAGAAGTCATTTATGTTTTAACTATGTAATTGAATATTAATTCTTAAAAGAGGATAAAAATACAAATCATTGATATTAGGAATGAAACTATGCATATAATTATAAAGTCAGAAACCATAGAGAGGATGACTTCTGTTTTTAACCTTAACAAATAAAGAGATTGGAAGACATCACTCCCATCCTTACAGTAAGAAAAAACTGGACAAACTGAAAATCAGTAATTTTCCTTGACTCATCAGATAACTGGTGTCATAGGAGAAAATACCACACTAGGAGAAAGCCACATTCTGAGATAAATAGCATCTAAGATACGCTTACTTGGAACAGAAGCATCTGGATGCTATAAGCAGTAAGACCACTTATTCACCAGTAAATTTAGTGAATTGCTGGAGGCTGAATGTGAACTAACATGAGAGTGAGAAAATCCTTGGGGCTGCAGTCATAGAAGGTTCCACACATTTTCATGAGTTTTTCTTTCAGGAACCCTACCAGGTTCCCTATCATGTTCTCGTGTGTGGAGCCTTAGCTGTAGCAGGCAGAAGGAAAAAGTTAACAATTAAGAAAACCTCCCAGGTTTTTCTCCATAACATAAGCTTGCTTTCCAGCAGAAAGACTCACCAGAGTGAATTAGAAGTTTATTCCACCTGGGGGAAGGGAATTCTCTGTTCTAAACCTCTTCAGCCTTTCTGTCTTCCTTTTTAACCTAAGGGGGAGAAAAACATAGTCAATAGAAAACAGGGCTCTATGGAAGTAGATTGGAGCCATTGAGCCAAGGAAGACAGCAGAAACAAGGGCAAAAACAAAACAAAACAAAACAAAACAAAACCCCCAAAAAACAAAACACAAAACAAAACAAAAAAGCCATATCCCCGAAGGAAAGACAGAAACACGTGTGCAAACCATACCTCTGAGACACAGGCCTACTAAAAGAATGAGATTTTATCACAGCAGCACTTTTAAAAGACACAAACTACCAAAACTCACTTAAGGAGAAATAGATAACTCTAAAAACCCTATATCTATTAAAATATTGAATTACTACTTAGAAAACTTTAAAGAAATTTTTTAATGTTTATTTATTTTTGAGAAAGAGAGACACAGAGTGTAAACAGGGAAGGGGCAGAGAGAGAGGGAGACACAGAATCTGAAGCAGGCTCCAGTCTCTGAGCTATCAGCACAGAGCTCAATGCAGGGCTTGAACTCATGAACTGCTAGATCATGGCCTAAGCGAAGTCAGATGCTTAACCAACTGGGCCACCCAGGCGCCCCAGAACCTTTAAAAAAGAGAAATCACCATTCTAATCCAGATGGTTTTACTGGTAAATTCTACCAAACAGTTAAGAAAGAAACAATACTCATTTTTCACAATCAATTCCAGAAAATAGAAGAGGGAACACTTTCCAACATATCTTATAAGTATCACCATAATACCAAAAATAAATACATTTAAAGAAAAACACAACAGACCAATATTTCATGGGATGCAAACAAATATCAACAACAGATTAGTAATTAAATCCAGCTAACTATCAAAAGGATAATGTGTCATAACCAAGTGGGATTCATTCCAGAAACACAAAGCAGATTTGACATTTGTAAGTCAGTCAGTAATGAATTAATAGATTGAGAAAAAAAGTATATGATTATTTTAATAGATGCAGAAAAGGCATTTGACAAAACATAACACTCCAAAAACCAGGAATAGAGGAAATTTCCTCATGCTAATAAAAGGTATATTTTTAAAAACTCCAGTATTTGACATCATATTTAACAGAAAAGACTGAAGTCTTTCCCCCAATGATTGGGAACAAGACAAGGATGTCTTCTCTCACCACTCATATTCAAAATCATACAGGAAGTCCTAGATAGTCCTAGATAGTAAAATAAGATAAGAAAAAAATTAAAATTATGTAGACTGGAAAAGAAGAAAACTGTTCTTATTTACAGATGACATTAATGTCTATGTAGAAAACCAAAAGAATCTACAAAAAGACTCCTGGAACTAATCACGTATAGCAGCAGTCACTGCTTACAAGTCAATACACAAAAGTCAACACAAAACACAACTAGCAACAATTACACCAAGAAATTTGAAAAAAAAAATAATCATTTTCAATAGCACTCACAAATTAAAAATGTATATATTTTACAAAATATGTATATGATTTATATGTGGAAAACTATAAAACACTGGTAAAAGAAATCAAAGAGATGAATAAATGGAGATATTTCATGTTTATAGATGGGAAGACTCAATATTGTTAAGAAGTCAATTCTTTCCATTTTGATCCACAGATTTAATGTGATCCCAATAGGCAAGAAGTGAAGGCTAGGATAAAGCATGTGATTATATATCAGAGTTGGAAACATCAGTACAAACTCATGTTTAGCTAAATATAGAGATGGGTAAATATAGAACTAACTATAGATATGTGTGTATACTTAGGTTAGCATATACACATATACTTCTAAGCCCTAACTGCTGAGAAGGCTTAGAAGCAATGAGAATCCAGTAATAATGAGCACATCCAGAGGTGCCTGGGTGGCTCAGGTCATAACTGAGCCTTGCATCATGCTCTCTGCTGTCAGTGCAGAGCCCACTTCGGATCCTCTGTATCCCTCTCTCTCTGCCCCTCACCTGTGCACGCTCTCTCAAAAAGAAATAAACATCAAAAAAATGAGCACATCCAACACCCATATCTTCACTTCTAATGCCACTCTAATAAAAGAAACCAAGAGTCCTTAGAGAAATGGCTAATTGAGGGGATGGGTCAGGGAATGCAAAGATGAGCCTGTAATACCTTGTACCACCAAAAAGTTAAAAAGTGCTAAAAAAACAAACCTATGGGGATATGTCAAAGGGACACAGGAGCTGACTGAAAGAGCTCCCAATGGCCAGATCTGGAACAATCTGATTAACAATATTAAAGATTAATATATAGGTAGAATAATCTAGACAATGTGATAGGTAGAGAGATCTGTGGAGAATAGAGAACCCAGAAATAGACTCATACAAATATGCCTGATTCCTAACAAAGGTACAAAAATATTTCAATCGAAGGATGTCTTCTCAACAGATGATGTTGGAGCAATTGGACACACATATGCAACAACAATAATAAAAACCTCAAACTAAAATTTATACCTTGTACACAAATTAACTCCATGTAAAATGCAAAACTACAAAACCTTAAACAAAGGAGAGAGTTTTTGGGATATAGTTCTGGGCAAAGAGGCCTTAGAGTAGGTACCACAAGCAAAGGAAAAATTAATTAGCAGAACCTAATTAAAATGTAAAACTATTGCTCTGCAAAAGACCTTGTTCAGAAGATGAAATATAAGCTACAGACAGGGAAAAATTATTTGCAACCTCATATTTAACAAAGGACTAGTATTAAGACTATATAAAGAACTCTCAAAACAGCAAATACACTAAAAAGTATAGCTAGAAAATGGACAAAAGACATGAAGAGGCATTTCACCAAAAGGTTTGTACAGATGGCAAATAAGCACTTGAAAAGATGTTAAACATCATTGGCTAATCAGGAATTGCAAATTAAAACCACAATGAGATATCACTGCACATCTATAAGTACAGTTAAAATGAAAAAAAAAAAAACTGTGATATCATGAAATACTGGTGGTAATGCAGAGAAACTTCATCACTGAGATACTGCTAGTAGGAATGTAAAATGGTTCAGCCACTCTAGAAAAAAATTTGGCAGCTTCTTATCAAACTAAACATGCAACTGCCATATGATCCAGTAGGTGTACTCCTAAGCATTTATGTCATAGAAATGTAAATCTAAGTTTACACAAAAATTTGTACATCAATGTCCATTATAACTTATTTTTAATAGCCCCAAATTAGAAGCAACCCAGATGTTCCTTGGTGGGTGAATGGTTTAACAAACTGATACTATTCAGTAATGAATAGTAACAAACTTATTGATACATGTAATAATCTGCATGAATCTTCAGAGAATTATGATGAGTGAAAAAAGTTAATCCTAAAAAGTTACATATATCCAGTTCTGCCTGTGTAACTTTAACATCACATATCAAAGACTGTGAAACCCTAGTTTTACTGGAGAAAAATATCCCTCTTAAATTTTCGCATTGTGTTAGCAGAATGGTAAGTACAATATTTGTAAATCTATTTGACACTATAACAAATTGAACTGAAATTTTCAAATTCAAAAAAAAGAGAAAACACTTGAAGGAATTCTAGAAATGGAGAGCTGGTTAGTAGTTGTCAGGGGTTAAGGGTAACAGTGGAGTAGGGAGAGGGTAGTAGATGTGGCTATGAAAGGACAGCTTCGGGGATCCTTGTGATAACAAAACTGTTCTGCATCTTGACTATAATAGTAGATACATCAATCCTAGCCTGTGATATAGTGTATTGAACTAAATAGACACAATTGGATATATGTAAAACTGGTGAATTTTGATAACTTAATAAATTGCATCAATGTAAATTTCCTGGTTGTGATATTATTCTACAGTTGTGCAAATTGTTACCATTGAGGGAAACTGGGTGAAGGGTACAGGGGATCTTACTGTGTTACTTCTTATAACTATACATAAATTTACAATTACCTCAAAAATTAATTGAAAATATTCAAAAAACCATGAGAAACAGATAAAGATATATTGGCAGTTGCAAACAAAAGTAAATCAAGTGTTAACTAACTTAATACCAGAAGGTAGCACATTTGTAAAGAGATTAGTCTTGCAAAGGACTTGGAAGGACATTTCATTATGATAAAAAGAAAGTATTCATTCTGAAATGTTGATGTACCTAAGTTTTAAATCTATAAAATGAATCTGATAGAACTACAGAGATTATTTTTAAATTACAAATGGAATTGTAGAACTGAAACCAAAGGTTAATAAAATTAAGGACTTTTTAAATGGGTAAAATGGTGGATTAAACACAGGAAATATAAATGACCGAACTGGATGTTAAGCCACAGTAGAATATATGCAGATAAATCAAAAAGAGAAAAACTTAAAAAAAAGCAACAAAGAGCAAATGAGACTTGTGGGACACAGTGAAAACAGTTAACAGATGTGAAACTGGAGTTATAATATAAAAAGGAAGAAAGAATTGGCAACAGTTGAGGATAAAATGGACTAGAATTTTCTATAAGTAATGAAAATAAAAAAAGTCACAGATTCAAGAAGAGATACAAACCTCAAGCTAAATAAATACAAAGAAAACTGCAACTAGGTACATCATAGTGAAAATGCAGAAAACCAAACAAAAAACTGTAAAAGTGATTAGAATAAAAAACTACATGTTGGGGCGCCTGGGTGGCGCAGTCGGTTAAGCGTCCGACTTCAGCCAGGTCACGATCTCGCGGTCCGTGAGTTCGAGCCCCACGTCAGGCTCTGGGCTGATGGCTCGGAGCCTGGAGCCAGTTTCCGATTCTGTGTCTCCCTCTCTCTCTGCCCCTCCCCCGTTCATGCTCTGACTCTCTCTGTCCCAAAAATAAATAAACGTTGAAAAACAAAACAAAACAAAACAAAACAAAAAAACTACATGTATATCATGTCCAGTCAGGAAATAAAAAAACCACAACAGTTATTTAAACATATTTTAATAGTTACCTCATTTAATAATTACTATAAGATTAAAAATGCTAAAAGGGAACAATGAGGTAACACAGATATAAGAACAGTAGGAGAGAGATGGCAGAG